AAACTTGAGTACGCGGAGCTGGAAGCTGAGAACTGGCGACCTTGTAGTACAACTGTAGTACGCGGAGTATCTGGGGAGCTGGAAGCTGAGAACTGGCGACCTTGTAGTACAACTTTAGTACGCGGAGTGTGCCGCTAGAGTGTCTCACACGAGTGTCCCTTAAGAGTGTCCTACAGGAGTATCCCACAAGAGTGTCCTACAAGAGTGCCCCACAGTCCTACAGGAGTATCCCACAAGAGTGTCCTACAAGAGTGCCCCACAAGAGTGTCCCACAAGAGTGTCCTACAAGACTGTCCCACAAGAGTATCCTACAAGAGTGTCCCACAAGAGAGTCCCAAAAGAGTGTCCCACAGAGTGTCCCACAAGAGTGTCCCACAAGAGTTTCCTACAAGAGTGACCCACAAGAGTGTCCCACAAGAGTGTCCTACAAGAGTGTCCCACAAGACTGTCCCACAAGAGTGTCCTATAAGAGTATCCCACAAGAGTGTCCAACAAGAGTGTCCCACAAGAGTTTCCTACAAGAGTGTCGCGCAAGAGTGTCCCACAAGAGTGTCCCACAAGAGTGTCCTACAAGAGTGTCCCACAAGAGTGTCCCACAAGAGTGTCCCACAAGAGTGTCCCACAAGAGTGTCGGACAAGACTGTCCCACAAGAGTGTTCTACAAGAGTGTCCCACAAGAGTGTCCCACAAGAGTGTCCCGCAACAGTGTCGCTCAAGAGTGTCTCACAAGAGTGTCCCTTAAGAGTGTGCTACAGGAGTATCCCACAAGAGTGTCCTACAAGAGTGCCGCACAGTCCTACAGGAGTATCCCACAAGAGTGTCCTACAAGAGTGCATCACAAGAGTGTCCCACAAGAGTGTCCTACAAGACTGTCCCACAAGAATATCCTACAAGAGTGTCCCACAAGAGAGTCCCACAAGAGTGTCCCACAGAGTGTCCCACAAGAGTTTCCTACAAGAGTGACCCACAAGAGTGTCCCACAAGAGTGTCCTACAAAAGTGTCCCACAAGAGTGTCCCACAAGAGTGTCCTATAAGAGTGTCCCACAAGAGTGGCCAACAAGAGTGTCCCACAAGAGTGACCCACAAGAGTGTCCTACAAGAGTGTCCTACAAGAGTGTCCCGGAAGAGTGTCCCACAAGACTGTCCTACAAGAGTGCCCCACAAGAGTGACCCACAAGAGTGTCCTACAAGAGTGTCCTACAAGAGTGTCCCAGAAAGCTGAGAACTGGCGACCTTGTAGTACAACTTTAGTACGCGGAGTATCTGGGAAGCTGGAAGAGAGTCCCACAATGTCCTTGAACAGTGTCCCGCTAGAGTGTCTCACAAGAGTGTCCCTTAAGAGTGTCCTACAGGAGTATCCCACAAGAGTAACCTACAAGAGTGTCCCACAAGAGTGTCCCACAAGAGTGTCCTACAAGACTGTCCCACAAGAGTATCCTACAAGAGTGTCCCACAAGAGAGTCCCACAAGAGTGTCCCACAGAGTGTCCCACAAGAGTGTCCCACAAGAGTTTCCTACAAGAGTGACCCACAAGAGTGTCCCACAAGAGTGTCCTACAAGAGTGTCCCACAAGAGTGTCCCACAAGAGTGTCCTATAAGAGTGTCGCACAAGAGTGTCCAACAAGAGTGTCCCACAAGAGTTTCCTACAAGAGTGTCCTACAAGAGTGTCCCACAAGAGTGTCCCACAAGAGTGTCCCACAAGAGTGTCCCGCAACAGTGTCGCTCAAGAGTGTCTCACAAGAGTGTCCCTTAAGAGAGTGTCCGACAAGAGTATCCCACAAGAGTGTCCTACAAGAGTCTCCCACAAGAGTGTCCCACAAGAGTGTCCTAGAAGAGTGTCCCACAAGAGTTTCCTACAAGAGTGTCCCACAAGAGTGTCCCACAAGAGTGTCTCACAAGAGTGTCCCACAAGAGTGCCCTACAAGAGTGTCCCACAAGAGTGTCCTACAAGAGGTTCCCACAAGAGTGTTCCACAAGAGTGCCCTATAAGAGTGTCCCACAAGAGTGTCCCACAAGAGTGTCCTACAAGAGTGCCCCACAGGAGTTTCCTACAAGAGTGACCCACAAGAGTGTCCTACAAGAGTGTCCTACAAGAGTGTCCCAGAAGAGTGTCCCACAAGAGTGTCCTACAAGAGTGTCCCACAAGAGTGACCCACAACAGTGTCCTACAAGAGTGTCTTACAAGAGTGTCCCAGAAGAGTGTCCCACAAGAGTGTCCTACAAGAGTGTCTCACAAGAGTGTCCTACAAGTCTGTCCCACAACAGTGTCCCACTAGAGTGTCTCACAAGAGTGTCCCTTGAGAGTGTCCTACACGAGTATCCCACAAGAGTCCTCCAAGAGTGTCCCACAAGAGTGTCCCACAAGAGTGTCCCACAAGAGTGTCCTACAAGAGTGTCCCACAAGAGTGTCCCACACCAGAGTGTTCTGCAAGTGACCCACAACAGTGTCCCACAAGAGTGTCCTACAAGAGTGTCCCACAAGAGTGTCCCGCAAGAGTGTCCCACAAGAGTGTCCCACAAGAGTGTCTCACAAGAGTGTCTCACAAGAGTGTTCCACCAGAGTGTCCTACAAGAGTATCCCACAAGAGTGTCCTACAAGAGTGTCGTGTAAGAGTGTCCCACAAGAGTGTCCTGCAAGTGACCCACACAAGTGTTCCCACAAGAGTGTCCTACAAGAGTGTCCCACAAGAGTGTCCTACAAGAGTGTCCCACAAGAGTGTCCCACAAGAGTGTTCCACAAGAGTGTCCTACAAGAGTGTCCCACAGGAGTTTCCTACAAGAGTGACCCACAAGAGTGTCCTACAAGAGTGTCCTACAAGAGTGTCATTTGGACATATTAGTTTGTCGAACGTGTTTGCGTTCGGGTTCGTGGGTTCCATCTTGTTTCTTAGTTACTGACTTGCCTTTATTCTTTGGGTTTTGTTTGTCTTCCTCTCTTGCATTCTTTCCAGCCTTCCAGGCCAGGTTTCACCGTTAACTTATTTTTTTATCGGTCTCGCATACTTTTGTGCGTCTTACATAAAGCCTTAAGTGCAACATCATACTGTAGTAGCTGCGCGCCGTCTTTTGCGCGCGTAAACTTACACTCAGGTAATGTAAATGCTCGAAGAACATGTATAGCCATAACATTTTGACCGAAAGGCTGCTTGAGAATGCTTGGACCGCGTGACTGCATGCTCCGTTAATGCGTATGCCCGTGTTCATTGAAACGTGAGTCTGACCCAACGGCTGCCTGAGAATGCAAGAGCCCCTGGTGTAGCGCCATGTTGTGTTTCGATTCTTCTGGCCCGGCGGCGCTTTGCTATGTGAGAACTGTGAGAACGTTTGTGCGCGTTGCCTGTGAGACCTAGGGGCTCTGTGCTGTTTTCGCGCGTATTTTTGCACGCATACATGCATACATGCATGCAAGCGTGTTTCCAGACCAGACAAAGACAGACGGACAGACAGACAGACAGGCAGGCAGACAGACAGACATACATACAAACAAACATACAGACAGACAGACAGGCAGACATACATACATACGCGCAGACATTTCCTTACATGAACGCATGCACACATTACATTGGACGACATCACACGTAACATTAACATGCATACAAACATACATACACATACGCGCAGCATCACACTGTGTTGACCCGAGCGCAGAGTGTGTTTTTGTTTGTCAGGACGAGTAGTTTGCTTCTCGTTTGCTTTTGCTATTACGTTTGAACGCCTGCGCGTGGTGCCTGTGAAACCTTGGAGTTGTACTGTTTGCGCGTATTAGTGTTTTTGTACCTCTCGTATGAATATATATATATATGTATATTGTACGCGCAACATCCTGTTGCACTCCCTGCGCACAGCACCACATTGTTTTCATGGGGGCAGCGCGTGTGCTGGAGCGACGTCTTCAATTATTCTGTGTGTTTCGAAACATTGAGTCTCACCACTTGTTTGTCGGTCTGATTGGCGTTTTGTTGGCACCGCTCACGGCCACTGGAAACTTTCATTTTTTCCTTGATTCCCAGGAACATCTGTTTTTGGAATTAGTTGCTATCTATCTGGGATCTATGCCAGTGCAATTTGTTCCCCAGATTGGGGTTCTTACTTCAATATAGGAAATGGTGCCGGTGCGCGCTTTGGAGCCTGGATGATGGTAGCCGCTACAGGGTGCCACTGCGAGAGGTGTATGGCCATGTGTGCCAGGGGGGCGGTGCAACATGCTGTTCCAGGGTGCTGGTGCTGCTGCGAGATGTTTATGACCGTGTGCGCTTTGGAGATTGGGTGCTGGTGCCGCAAGGCGCTGTTGCCAGATGTCTATGGCTGTGTGCGCTTTGGAACCTGGGCGCTGGTGCCGTTGCCCGGCGCTGCCCGTTTTTTTTTGTTATTTGGGTCTCTGCAAGCGTTTGTTGATGATGCACGGTAAACTGCTTCTATGAAGGTTGAGGACAAGTAAACATAATTTACACCATTTTACCATTGATTGCCTTGATTGCCATCGGACGTCACTATTTGGACTATGGACCATGAAGGGTATATATAAGGCCTTCAGCTTCGTGGTAGCAAACCGCACTGCACGCATGGGGTTACATGTTGCTGTGGCTTTACATGTAATTTTAAGCTGGACTCGACTCGGTACGTGTAGCCTCTTCTAGATGACTCAAAAGTGTGCAGTGTGTGGGCATACTGTGCTGCAGTCCATTGCCATCAAAATTCATCGAACAAACTATACCAATGCAGATGGCACTTGTTGTTGTGATGCACTTACAACGTCTTTCCACTCCTAGGCTCGGGAGTCGGAATTTTGGTTCTCTATATACATGGTTTTAACATAGTTGAGGAAAGCAACTGCCATGCTGGGCATGATTTGGGAACTCGCAGCCCTTGAGCGGCAAAAGTGACAAACCTTGTGTTTCCCATGAATATTTGCCTCTGCTCGGCTTACGAAAACCGTGATATGGCACTTAAACCGTGTATTTTTCTCCGAACAACTCAGATTGACTTGCACGGAAGGAGTCGACGCAGGTCCAGGGGTCGCTCTAGCAGCTGTGTTCCGGCTTCATGAGCGAAATACAGTTTGCGATTAGGATGTTTGTTTTTTTTACATGTTGAGGTTGTTTTACAAGTGCAGCGGATCTTTCAGTTGTGTTCAAAGGTGGGCGATTTTCTCGCGGCATCCAACTCCGACCTTCCCAGCAGGTTTGCCACCAAAGATGGAATAAACAATTTACAAACATTTGTCATGACAATGACAGTGTCACGAAATGTTGAAGTGAAACTTGTGTTCGAAGTTGACATTGGAAGCTGCCCTGCAGATAGACTCAGACAGCATCAAATATTGCAGATATCATCAGGTTCATGAGAGACGCAGCCAAGCAGGCAAATTGCAGAGCTTTTTGTGGACCGTTTGTATGTTAGGTTGTGCCACGTACCATTTCGTTCTATTTGTGCGAGGCAATAGGCCCAAGGCGCTCTTCCTCATGGGATTGCCTTTGGCCAAGTTGTAGCAACTTTGATCAGCTTTGTATCGCGGGCAACCTCTTGCTCCTGCACGGTTAGTTAGGTTCCAGCACCGTGATTTGGTGGGATTTTCAGAAATGATGAATTGTATTTGCACACACAGAGCTGTTGATATTCGCCCCTCAAATCCAATAGCCATGAACTGGTACTCAATTGTGCGCAATGGTGCAGATGGACCTTACAGTATTTGCTGTCACATCACTGCTTGGAAAAGGTGTCGTGCAATCGTTGGAGGTCCGGGTGCCGGGGTACTGACTGGCACTGACTGGTATTACACCGGAGCCGTGCAGAGATGTGTCATTCCGTGTTTTCCTTTCACAGCTCTGCTTCGCTTGTGAAGTCGGTTCCTTGTCCTTTGCTTCATCCTTGATTGGTGTTGCTCACCTCATCATCAGGGCTGATGGTCGTGGCTTACGGCGTATGAGGCCGGTTTCACCTCGGGTTCCGCTTGCCTCTTAAGGGATGTGCTTTTTGATGGGTGGACATCAGCCCAGGATCATCTTAGCTTCGACTGACCAGCCACTCTATCCCTGGATTTGCTACCATAGCTTCCTTCATTCTCACGCTTGGCAATAGCCAGAACTTGCCTGCATGTATATATTCTGCCTGAGTGTCAGCCTGCCTTTCCGGTCGGTCGGTCCGTGTGTCTGTCTGGCTGTCGGACAAGCAATGGCCCAATCAACCAACCAAGCAAGCAGTCAATGTCTATACAGTTGCCATCTGCAATGACAGATTGCCGAAATTGAACTAACACTTCGCACTAGCCATTACCCGACCTGTCTGCGAATGGAAGGGACATCGGGTATATGGTTTGAGTCAGGTGCTCGCTTCTTGTTGTAGGGTTCCAGGCTTTTCTTCGCCTGTCCTGTCCAGATTCCGTTGTCAATTCTGCAAGCGGGTAGACCTTGTCCCTCATTCTGTTGTGAACAAAGTTCGGAAACGCAATCAGTTCTATCATTCTGACCGTAGGGAGGCCTGCGACACCTGCTCATACCAGAATGTTGGCTTGTCCGATGCAAAGGTAGCTCATCATCACTGAGCCTCTTGTGAAACTCAGTTTCGGAATCAGATTTGCGGCCCACTTCGATCATATGATGGAATCAAACAATGTATATAACGATATGTTTGGACCAGCGTTTGTTGCGTCTCAGGCCAGGAGCTGGGAAAACGACGGTGGGTGGCTGAGAACATGATAGAAACCTGAAACGACCCCCGATGTTCTCTACAATGTGCTTTGTCAGGGGGTAGGCCCCCAAGATGGGGGACGGTAGCTTAATTAGGTAGCTAGCAGATGCTAGTAGGAGGGCTCCGGCTTTTCAAGTGCGCTCCTGCAGCCTTGAAGAACTGCTTGCATTTCATGGTCGAAGCAGCTCGATTTTCCGAGACATTAAGAGCCAGCCCTTTGTGATCCTTTGTGACACTCTGCAAGGTGAAGAAGGATAGGATGAGCAAAGAATTTTTCGTGAGAGCCTTGAGCGACTTTGGCTAGAACTAGAAGCATCTCTGCAACTTGTGGCCTCAGGTAAATGTCGAGCCTGACCAGCTGAAACGTTTTCACAGGCATTTCTCCAGTTCAATGAGCGAGGACGCTTCCTGGCTCAGCACTCATGGCACTTTGTTTGGCCATTCTTGCTAAGCTTCCCACGAGCCGCGTTTCGAAAGGAGACCGACACAGAAGTGCACAGATGGAGTGCGCTGGACTTTGCATTCCCACCTTTGAAGCTCAGGCAATACACGCCTCCTCCGAAAATTGAATTTGTGGACATGAGGTCAGGCGAGCTGTGGATGCTTTTGAGGATGCGCTCAACGACAGAAGGACCCAGAAACTAGCTGTTTGATCGATGCAACCGGTATAGTATTATGAACTGAAGATACCATGCATCGATGAACAAGCGAGGAGACCCAATGTGCTCTTCGACTCTTCTGGCTCAAACTCGCAAGCACCCCAAACTCCAGAAAGTGGACCGATTGTCCTTGAAGAACCTTTTGCATAGTTGACTTGGTTCCTAGATTGTTTTTTGGAACACTCAAGCTTGGCGGAGTGCTGTTGGGCAAAGGAAGATACTTTGCCGAAAAACTTGAAGCTCGTCACACGTTCCAAGGCAGTGGCTGGCACGCCGCCTCGAGACTGCGCGCCATGCAGGTTGGCAGTTCGCCATGTCTCAATCCAACTGCGAACACACTGATAGGCTGTTCTGCTGCCTTCCAGGCTACCAGACAGAGCTGCTGTGGGTGGACGTGCCTGTGGAGGCTGGCGCAACAAGAGCCACGCACGCACAAGCAGACATGCCACATCATCGCTTGATTGAATCTTATGTGGCCAGCTTGCCGTCCCAGATAGCCTTGTGGCGGAATCGAAACCGAGCAAAATCCAAAGGACAGCACGGCTCTCAGAGACTTGATCTCTGCCATGCTATGAATGCCTCACAGAGCGTATCATGCAGGGATTCCGCTGCAGGTGGTGTCCAGAGTGCATTATCATGGAAAAGTCAGAGGTAATGCGAAGCAGCTTCGAGGAGAGCCCCTAGTAGCGTCCTTGCTCCTAGTAGCGATGCCAGGAGCCCCTAGTAGCGTCCTCTTGTTCCTAGTAGTAAGGCCAAGAGCCCCTAGTAGCAATGCCCTTTGCTCCTAGAGGGCGGCGATTCATCGAAAGAGATGTTCCCTCTGTGCTTCCTTCAGACAACTTCTTCCTCAGCCTAGGAGCTCCGTGACACTGCCAATGCAGCCAGCAGAATACAGAACTGGGCCGCAGCCTTGAAAAATGATCTGAGGCAAAGGGCAAAGGCGGCAAAGGAAAACGCATACAGTAGGATGCGCAACCTGCCACATGTTACCGGCATTCGCACCTAAGGACCCAGAGGGTGATGAGCTGAAGCAGGCAAAGCAGGACCAATCATGTCTTGAGATTTGCTTTAGCACCCATCATTGCCACGACAGCGAGCTCTTTCCAGCAATTAAGCCAAGCATGACCAAGCGTGTTTTCTGCAGGACCTGTACCTATATCCAGCCCCCAGGACCGGAAACGCTTTAGGGTGACACTGAAGCTTGCTGTTCTGACGGTGCTCTACAGGACGCGGGCAGCCACCGTGCACCCAAGCGATCCAACTTATGGAGAGGCATGCTTTGACCTAGCTCTCACAAACACCAAGCTTCATGATCAGAAGACTCATTTCTTTGAAGTCTAGCCGCTGAGCTGTCAACAATGTGACAAGATAGCTCGACAACATTTCTTGGACCCTGTTCTGCCACTTGTTCAATCTTCATGTTCGCGTTTGAGCCATCTCCATCCCATTTTTGGAACCCAGGGTTGATTGTGACAACAAGAACAATAAAACACTTTGTCTTCCAATGTGGAGAGAAGGGCGAATTGTAAAATCTGCAGGCCCCACCTGGTGCGCGCTCCCCATCGCCGACTCGCACGTCGCAAAGGAGACGACATTTGTTTCAATTTCGTGGCAGATCCTTTGAACCTTTTTTGAACCACTTCCAGGTCTTGGGACAGTGCAGGTCTGTTTCATTTCTACACTGGCCCTTCGTCCATGCTGGGCTCCTGATGCATTTTAATTTGTCTTCTTTAGAAGCATAGAGCGACTCTTTAATAACCCGCAATATATCGGCTTTAAAGCCTTCAGCGTATGTCCCGGGCGGCGCATCCCGCCTGCAATAAGTGCAGGCAAGCGCCTTCAGCAGAGCAGGCACTGACTCCTGGTGCATTGCCAGCTCCGCGCTGGAACTGGTCCAGGCGGACCTCCGTGCGCGGTGGGCTTGCGCCGATCTCCGCCGTGCAGCAGGAGAGCTGCTGGTGGACGCGGCGCGGCAAATCAAAGTCCTCAGGAGTCTCTCACTGAGGCTGGGCCCCGTTGGAGGAGGCTCGAACGTCGAGGAGAGAGAGGCACTCCCGAGGTCTTTGGGGGCCACTGCAAAAGGGCAACCTCCTCGCCCGCCTGCTCGTGAACCTCCCGTGCCACCCCCTGTGGTTGCATCGAGTCGTTCAAGGGTGGAAGAATCAGGACCAGCTGCCGAGTCTGAGGAACCTGATCCAGAGGAGAGCTATACCTACGAGTATACGGAGGGCGAGGACGAGCTTGAAGAGGAGAAGGACGACCTGAACAAGGAGGCAGTGCAGCAGCCCCCAACTCCGCCGCCCACCAGGGTGCAGGTTGAGGAGGCCGAGGCAAGTCGTGAGAGGCGAGAAGGACGTGAAGAAAGAGAAAGGCGAGGAGAGAGTTCGAAAGATAAGAAGAGGAGACGTGGAGCAGAGGAGACTGAGAGGAGGCGAGGAAGAAGAGGTGGCAGAAAACATCAGCAGAGGTCGAAGAGGAAGCACAAGCCAGGAGTGAGGTTCCATAAGAAGAGGAGTATCGCAGAGCTGACGGGTGCACGAGGCAAGGACGACTACCGAGGTCTCCCGCCTCCACCACCATGTCCGCGCTGAAAGAGCTCTTCCCAGAATGGACAGAGGGCGACGAGTTCACTATGGGGGACAAGGTGCGCTGGTCGATGTTGAGTTTCAGGAAAGGAGATTGCGTGGAGATCGACCTGCTGGTCAAGTCGGTGGGGTGCTCAGACGTCACCCTCAACAAGCCTTTGTCGTTGCGCTTCAACAGGAGGGAAGGCTGGATACATTGCTGTCTCAGTTCGCCCTGCGTCGAAGCGGAGGACAATTTCCTTCACACCACTTCGCTGCGCGTGTACTCTTTGGACTCTGGACGCCTTTGCTCCCCCCTACTTCATGCCCGCTCATCGACGACAGGTGTCCAAGTGGCTCGAACTGCCCGAGGAGGGCGGTTTGAGAGAGGATGCATTAGGAGAGGAGGAGCAGCTAGAAGAGGAGGAGCAGTCGAAAAAGGATCGTTCAGGAGCAGTGGAGGCTGGTTTGCACAAAAAGGCAAGAACAGAGGAGCCGGCTTCGAGGTCTGGGAGGACAACATCTCCAAAGAGTCGCGTGTCGCGCCCGAGCGCGCTGCGGCGAGGCGTGAGTTTGGGACCCAGGGCTCGAGGCAAAGGTCAGGCCGAGGTGAGGTCTACGGGGAAAGACATTCCTCAGGAGCGCGCAGAGCAGAAGAGAGATGGAATTGGAGAAGACTTGGCCTGGTCAGAAGGACAAGGCCTGGCCGAAGACCTGAGGCTGGGCAGCAAAGGAGAGCGAGAACAGATGTCGACCTCGGAGCGAAAGAAACTCGATCAGGTCAAGGCTAGGAGGAGCCGCCAGACCGTCGATTGGAGACCTTCGCAGGTCCTGCCGAGCACGACGAGGAGCTCGAGGACACCGTGAAGTCGAAGGAACGAGATTCAGGCTTTGTGGAGGAGTTGAAGACCCTGACGAGTGGGACGACCTTGAAGAGGAAGAAAACCCCGGAGGTTACAAGAGACACTACTACCAGAGACATCTCGAGGGAAGCTTCTTCGCATCGGAGGACTTCGAAGGAGGAAGAGGCTGGAGACGAGAGGGAGAAGATCCTAGCATTGTTGAATCAGGTGGACCGCAAGGTCTTGAGGTCGAGGGGGGATGGAGGAGATCCCCCAAGAGACAGAGGAAGGAGCCGTTCAAAGAAAGCTCAGGAAGCTCGGGAGAAAGCTATTCGTCTGCAAGTTCAACAGCAGAAGGCTTCGAAGCACCGTTGAGGAGAAGATCACGAGCATCGCCGGGATCGGTACTACGACTACTGGTCCAGAAGGCGCAATCCGCGCCGGACCAGTCCTCATTGGTCGAGATGGACAAGGCGACGAGCAGCTCCATCACGCACGTATTTCAACCTCCATGTGAAGCCGCACTTCGCCCATCAACGAGGACCCATGAGAGACTTATGGTTAATGGCCCAGGCGCTGGACATGATTCGCGCTGGGAACATAGCATTGGCGGCGGACCAGTTGGCGGGCCACTTTCTTGCAGGGCATCAGGCCCTGATGGATGCATCGTGGAGCCAGGCCCGATATCTCGAGGTGGCAGACCAAGGCGATCAGAGCGCAACTTCGGCAGCGATATTGCTGGAGACAAGAAAGCGTGCGAAAGCCAGCCTCAAGGTCGAGTCCATGGACCCATGGATCCCCGGAAAGAGTTGGCAAAGAGGCTGGTACGGAGGAGGAAAAAGCAGGTGGGAGCCCGACAAAGGGAAAGCAAAAGGAAAGAAGGGAGGAAAAGGAAAAGAGAAAGGAGGTTGGCAGGACAAGGAAGGGAAAGGGAAAGCGAAGCGGAGGGACTCCCACGACAAAGGAGAGAAGGAGAAGGAGGCATAGAATGTTTGGCGACTGTAAGTAATTTGAGGAGAGACGAGGGCCAGGCGCCACCCTTTGAAGTTGTTTCACAAGAGGAGAAGGCTGATCGAGCGGCGACTTCAGCTACAGAGAAAGCGCTGGAGCTGCCATCTCAGCCTGTTGTTGAGGAGGAGAAGACTTGGTTGAGCTCACGCCAGGCCATTTGCATAGCAGTTGGGAGCCGCATTGTCAATCTCAAGAAGGCGGGAACCCTACTAGCCTGGCTCGTTGTCCGAGCTGGCGAAAAAGACCAAGGAGGAGCATGGCGTTGGTTGAATCCAGTTGGGTTTGAAAAGATAGATCCCGCGACCGGTTGCGGGGGGCCCACGAAGGCTGCCTCGTTCCCTTTCAGAATAGGAGAGTTGGAGGAAGTGTTTGAGGCGCTTCGCCGTGCGTCCCTTGACGAGGTCGCTGGCTCGAATTTCTCCGAGAAGTGGGCGGAAGATGCCTGGCTTTACCTGGCGCTTCACTCCGTCAGTGGCCTGGCAAGCCGTGCGAAGCCGCTGGCGAAAGGGCGATGGAGCGCGCTGGAACAAAGAGGCGCGGCGACAGCTAGGCAGTTTGTACAGAGACTCTTGAAGAGCCACTGCGGATCTGTGACCGCCTTCGAGAAAATAGGCAAGGACTTAGAGGCTGCGAGGGTTGACTACAGCGGGGAGGAAACTGGGGTTTGCGAACCCCTCACACTGGCTCAAGCGCTCCCTGCTCTTCCCCCTATGAACCATGGTGGCTCCATCAAACTGGTTGACCTCGTTGGATGCCACCCGTGAGGTGTTGGAGGACCCTGTAAGTTTGTTGAGGGGGGGCTTTGGTCACCCTCGCCCAAAAATCCCTGGGGCTGTTCATTTTGGCAAAGGGGAAAAGATGTCAGTGTGTGAGGAATTGGTCCGTCGAGGTATTTGTGAGTGGATTGAATCTTCTACGGTTGCGAAGGTTGATGGTATCCCCATTTTGAATGGACTCTTTGGGGTCCAGAAGCCTTCGAAGGCTTCTGGATCTAAGTTGGAAGATGGGAGGCCCATCTTGCGTGTGATTATGAACCTTAAGCCCACTAATTCGGTGTTGACTCAGACTCGGGGAGCAGTTGATGGACTTCCCGCAATCACAGCGTGGCAAGCAGCGCTCTTGGAGAGTGATGAGGGCTTTCATTGCTACTAGTCGGACATCTCCTCAGCATTCTACCTTTTTGAGCTACCACGAGCATGGCTGCCATTCCTGGCATTTTCAGTTGAAGCGAACGGCGAAAGCATAGGAGGCCGTACTGGGGTCATGCACAACCTTGCGTGTCGCGTTTTGCCGATGGGACTCCACAGCTCGGTGACCCTTATGCAAGAGGTCTCAGAGACCATACTATGGAGAGAGGGCTTGCGTGCGACAAACCAGGTACGAAGAGGGCAGCCAGTGCCTTGCGCTCTGATTCAGGCCGCGCGCACTAGTCTGGCTGAGGATCGATGCTTTTGGCAGGTCTACCTTGACAATTTCATGGGGGGCGATTTCACTACTTGGAGACCGGGTTCATCGGATTTGTGAGGAGACTTGGAAAAGCCACCATAGTTTGTCTTCAGAGAAGAAGAGGGTTTCAAACAGCCAAGAGACGGAAGAATTGGGAGCTTTGCTTCAAGGGAAAGAAGGCTTTGTTGGTGGTTCCCCCCAGCGGTTTTGCAAGCTTTTACAAAGTACCCTATGGATGCTTGGACAACGACCGGTCACAAAGAAGATGGTTCAAGTAGTTGCCGGAAGGTGAGTACATGTCTTACAGTTTCGTAGGCCAGGGATGAGCTTTCTCGATAAGACTTCGAGTTTCATTAACAAGATTGCCCAAGGTGACCAGCTGGCTTTGCAGATGAAGAGGGAGTTCTTTCTCCTCATGGGTGCCACCCCGTTGTTGCACACTTTCTTTGGGGCAAAAGTTGATGATCAGATTTGGTGCAGTGATGCCTCCGAATGGGGTGGAGCCGTAGGAAAGGCAGTTTCGCTTTCCTCTCAGGGTCAGGACTTTGTTCTGTCGTCTCAACTGTCGGGTAGGAGCCTAGCTACCACACCCATCCTGGTCATCGGACTGTTCTCGGGCATTGGAGGAACCTTTACAATCTATGACCTTCTAGATCTCATCCCTCGTGGTTTGGTCGCAGTAGACGTTCACACACCTGCCAATCGCATTGTGAGCCGACGGTGGCCGGCCGCACAAATACTGCGTGATATACAAGAAATCGACGTTGAGACAGTGCGGGCTTGGGCCCAGACATACCACACGGTGGACGAGGTGCACATTTGGGGCGGCTTCCCATGTAGGGACTTGAGCTCAGCACGAGCCAACAGGTGGAATTTACAAGGAGACGAAAGCAGCCTGTTCTTTGAGCTCCTACGAATTTGGCAATTGGTCACCACCTGTTTCTCAAAAACGAGTGGTGATAAAAGTGGCTGCGGAGAACGTGGCATCAATGGACGAGAGTGCATCAGCAGAGATCTCAGCCTGGATGGAATGTCACCCGTATCACCTCGATTCGGTCGATGCCGTCCCCCTTCGTCGGCCCCGACTCTGTTGGACCACTGAGAAGGTTGAGGGTTGTCTTGAAGGGTTGAGTTTTATTGAGGATAGGAGGTGGACACGGATTGTTGCTGAAGCCCCTTACCCGTCTTCATCACAATGGCTTACAAAGGGTTTTTCGTGGCCAGGTGAAAAAGAAGCAAAGGCATTCCCCACTTGTATGAGGGCTGTTTGGAAGGATTCCCCTCCTTCACACCCTGCGGGGATCCACCGTGCTGACGCGGATTGCCGCGCGAGATGGGCCCTTTGTGGTTACATCTACCCTCCTTACCAGTTTCGTTCCGAGTTCTTACTTTGGAGGGAAGGTTGTTGGAGGTTAACAAACAGTGAGGAGCGAAGCCTGTTGATGGGGTACGGTCATCAGCATTGTTCATTGGCCTGGCCCGCTAGCAAGATCAAAGGAGACCCAGAAGGATATGAGCGAGAACAGTGCTCTTTACTAGGAGATGCTTTTAGTATGTACTCTTTTTGCATTATTGGTGCTGCCTTGTGCAAGGCCTTTCTCCCTTCAATTCACTATCGTCACCTGAGCCTGAGGATGGGTTTAGCCCCGGGTTTTCGCGCAAGCCTTCGACTCCAAGCCCCCCCTGGCTCCTTCTTAATTGATCGACCTCCACCACCATATTGGCGTCAAGGACCTCAACCTGATCCTACTTAGCAGAACAAACTTTACGGGTAGTGACGTCAGAGTTGTTCTGGTGACTTGGTCAACCCAAAGGCCTTCCCCAGACAATCAATCTCTGCAAGCTGGCGGGCTTGGGAGCATGCCTTTAAAGTGCGATGGCCCCGACCGCAGCATATAAATCAACTCGAACTCAAAGCAATCCTCCTCAGCGTCTTGAGGGGGATCAGGTCTGAGAAGTGGTCGCAGCAGCGGGTTTTCCACCTGAGTGATTCTTATGTTTGCATCAGTGTCATTTCTAAAGGACGCTCCAGCTCCGTATGTTGAACAGGCTTCTAAAGATTCTCAACGCCCACCTCCTAGTTCATGGCATCTGTTTGATCCTGGCTCACGTGGAGAGCTCCGAAAACCCCACTGATGGGGCGAGTAGGAGTTAGGTTGTTGCAGAAGCGGACTAGGAGTGAGCGAAAGCGAGATCGGCAGGGCATTTTGCTTCGCGACGCTGGGATCACCATCCGCGCTCGCATTGCTTATTTTGTGGCTCGGAGCATGTTGTTGCCTTTCATTGAAAATGCGCAATCAGCCTCTGAGCTTGATCTGGCTGCCGCAGAGTGGGTTGAGATGTGTTGGGAAGATGGTGAGTCCCTATATACCGTTGGCAGTGCCCTGTCAGGCTTGCACTTCTTCGAACCGTTCACACGTAAACAGATCCCTACCGCTTGGAAACTGTTCGCCGCCTGGAAAAAGATGGAATGGCCGGCTCGAGCGCCGCCGCTGACGGAGAACATTGTTCTCAGCATGGCTTACTATGCAATTTGCCATGATGATTTGTTCCTCAGCTGCCTTCTGGCCTTGGGATTTTTCACACTCCTCCGAACAGGAGAACTCTTAAATCTCAGAGGCTCTGACTTGCTCGCGAATGCCTCTCAAGTAGTTGTCTCGTTGAAAGATACTAAGACTGGCAAGCGCAATGCGGCCAATGAAATGGTTACTACATCTAATCCTTTCACAGTTGAAGTTTGTTTGGCCGTCAAAGATGTTCTCTCGCGCCGTGGTGCGCTGGCCAAGCGACTTTGGGAGTTTTCGGCCCAGGCCTTTCGTACACACTTTGATGTTTACCTCAAAAAGTTCAAGATAGGCTCACTGGGCTTTCGCCCTTACTCCCTCCGTAGGGGGGGGCTACGTGGATACTCCAGACTTCAGGTTCGATGGAACTTGCTTTGTTGAAGGGTCGCTGGTCAAGTCACCGGGTGGCCAGAATATATATATATATATATAGCAGACGGCCTCTCAAAAATTCCTGATCTTACTATGTCCCCCGAAACCCGTTTTCTCCTTCGGTCGTGGGACCCTCGTCACCTAGGTGACGCCAAGGGGGACCGTGGAACACGCCCTTGAATTTGAACCAGTTGAGCGTACTTGATTTGAAGCTTGAAACTTACACCTCTGCATGGAGGTGGTTGGATTCACGAAAGCGTCTGCATGGATGCTACGAACTGCATCTGCAAGGATGCAAAAGGAAGG